AAAGCTCAAGTCTTACGTTACGCACACTACTATATCACAGAGTCATAGAAAATACTCTTTTAAAACCAAAATAGTCACGGATGCAGAATACTAGTTGTCAGCCTCCCTGAATCCAATGGAACCTTGCCTCCAAGCAATAACCTCTCCATGTTTTGTTAGGGTGGGCAAAACTGGAAGCTAAGCACACAAAAGGACCAGTGTCAGCCAAGGGTTTTATGGTAATTATAACGTTGCATGGTGGTTAGCTGTAAATGATTACTTTTAAACAGCTCCAATAAGGTTTTGATTTCTTTTTGCTAGTTTTCCAGTACAACAGCCAGCTACCAATGTCACCATTTTCCCTGTTAAATTATACTACTTAACACTCTCACATCCACTGATGCTTACAGAGGTCCCGATCTAGCCTCATGAATCACTGCATTCTAGAAACCCCTATCCCATGGCCCAAGATTCAACTGCCTGAGCAACTCTAAAACCTCCTCTACATCTAATCACTTCTTTTTTTTTTTTTTAATGTTTATTTTTGAGAGAGAGAGACAGAGCATGAGCAGGGGAGGGGCAGAGGGAGACACAGAGTCTGAAGCAGGCTCCAGGCTCTGAGCTGTCAGCACAGAGCCTGACGCAGGGCTTGAACCCATGAACCGTGAAATCATGACTTGAGCCGAAGTCTGGCGCTTAACTGACTGAGCCACCCAGGCGCTCCACATCTAATCACTTCTTGAAGAACACACACTGAACTACTTAGATCCTCTCCCCCACCCCACCCCCACAGGCCACAGGTGCAGAAACAATAAAACCAGAGATTCAAGGCAGAAGGAGGGGAAACTATGAAAATGAGCTCTGGCTTGTAGATAACTACAATTCGGAGAGTAGACAGTGGCATAGAAGTTGAAGTTATGATCTGGTGATAAAGGAAGCCGGGTAGAAGCTGGATGAGCCAGAAGATCAGATGAAGCATACATTAGGCCTTGTAAGACTACAAGTAAAAACAACTACTGGTAAGTTCCTCTACATGTGAAAGCTCCTAACACTCCCCGAGGAGCCACAACCCTCATCCTCAACGGAGGGAAAGAATGAGAACCATGGATGCTTGTGTGTGCTTAACAGACACAGAGAAACAAAAGAGGAGAGATTTTGCGGGTAGAAAGAACAGGAAACATTGTTCCAGCTCTTTCCACCTGCCCCGGACACCCTAAAAGGATCACCTCATTTCAGAGGTGGTATCATTTTGGGGACCAAGATTATAAGGCTCTGTTGCCTGCACCACCACCACCCCCCCACCCGCCCAATTCCTCCTAATCTATTTAAAATTCCTTTATGGATAATGAATCCACCATTTGGGGCAAAAGCCCTAAAACACAAATTTTTGGAAGTCACAGAAACTTACACCAAAGTGTGATAAGACAAGTTTACGTGATGGAGATCTTAGCATTTTCTAATTTTAATTAAAACAGGCAAAAAAAAAAAAAAGAAAGAAAGAAAGAAAAGAAAGAAGAAAAAAGTAGGACCTACATCCCTAAAAAGTCAAGGCAGAGTATAAACTCTTAGATGAGAGTGTGTAAGGAGGTTGTGATAGACAAGGAGAAGGAAAAAAAACAGAAATCCATGGCCCAAAACAAACCACTGAAATTGTCAAGGCGGTCCTTTTTACTTTCAATAGTTCACAGACAAGCATCAAATGTGGCAGAAATAAGATTCGTATTAAGTATACCTAGAACACTAGCTTTGCATCAATACGTTAATTCTGACAGCTTCCAGCTGGAACAAGGGAAAACACAGGATTTAGGAACTCCTAAGTTCTCAAACTAATTTTGGCTTGCACATATCAAAAGAGAAAAGAGTTATCTTACTCTTTTCTAAGTATTAAGAACAACAGTGTATTTTCCTGTTAAATACTCCATGGTCTGCAATTACAATTCTAAAAATTCATTTGTTGATGTGTTAAGTCAATAAGTACTTACTTAATCCCCGACTATGTGCCAGACACTGTTCTAGGCCCACCGAACATAGCAAACGAATCAAAATCCCCATCCTCATGGCGCCTCCAGTAAGGAAGAGACACAATAAACTAAGAGTACCCACTAGTGATTAAGAGAAAAAGTGAGTTAAGAATGGACAGCAGGGGCAGAGTGCTTTTCATGGGTGGTCAGAGAAAGTCTTTGTGATAAGTTCTATCTGAACAAAGACCTAAAGGAAATAGGAAAGCAAACCACACAGATTTCTGGGGGAAGAGCAAAGGCTCTAAGGTGGGAGTGTGCCTGGCACTATGAAAAAACATCAAGAAGGGCAATGTGGCTGAAACAGAATAAGCAAAGAGGAGCGTATTTGGAAATGAGGATAAAGAGGTAAGGGAGAGAGAGAAGGCTCAGACCACGTATCCTTGTTTGCCCAAGATAGTCCTGGTTTGTGCCTGTTGCTCCAACATTATTATTAACAGCACCACGTTTCATGCTCAAAAGTGTCCTGACTTGGACCATAACTTTTATGGTCACTCCATATATAGGTGACTATAAAACCTTTTTACTGTAAGTGAGATAGATGGAGAACCGCTGGAGAGATGTGAGAAGTTTTAAAAGGATCATCCTATTTTATGGATGACAAAAACTGTAAAGGGGCAAGCTAGCAGTGGAGATATCAGATGGCAGACTACTGCAGTTAACAGGGGCAAAGGAATCACACTTGATGGAAATGTTGAAAAGTGGTCAGATTCTGAAGTCAGAGATGATCAGTACTTGCTGACATACTGGGTGTAGGATTGGAAGAAAGAAGAGCCAAGAGTTACCCCCAATTTTTGGCCTAAGCAACAACAGGAAGAATGGAGATACTCTTTAGAGAGACAGGAAAGGGGGGGGGGGGGATCAAGTGGAATCAGGAGTTTGAGTCTGGACTTGGTACACTGAAACACCCATTAGGTATTTAAATGTAGGCGTTTGGATATAGAGTCTGGAGTTCAGTGGAGAGGTCTCTGCTGAAGATAGAAGTTTGGGAATCATCATCATATAAAGGGTGCAGGATTAAAATTATGTACTTATTCTACAGCAGTAAAACAGATGTTTCTTCATAACTAAACTGTAAAATAGTAAGAATGCAGTATAGCTCGAAGAATTTCTACAAATCCTCTACGAAAAAACAAATTATACAACCACTGATAGCAGTTTTCAACATTTTTCCCTAGCTATACATTGGGTAGGTGACCTTTACATGTATGAAATTTTCTCATGGATACTCTTAAATTTTCATGATATCCACCAGTAATTGGCTCAGACAGGTATATTACTACGACACCTAATCATGACAGCTATTTAAGTTTCTCATTAGGCAGGGGTAGTCTTCTTTCTCTTCCATTCAATAAAGTACAACATATCCAAATTGAGAATGATGTTTTGCAGGAATAAGGAGAACCTATTCTAACTCTTTCATTCATCTGCAAACAAATATTTTTAGTCTCTAGTAACAAATTAATGTTCCACTTGAAAATACTGATCTGCAATCTAACAATAGATCAAAGATAAAAACTACAATTAAAAACTTATAATTCTTAGTTTTTCTGAACCTGGATTTAAAAATGTACAACAGTAAAGTACATATACCCGCAATTTTATAATGCCTTTTCTTCACACACTAAAAATCATTAGTGTAGTCTGATCCTATTCTGAAGGGATTAACACCCTAATCATGTCCCATGGCATTTCATTGGTAACTTAGTGATCTATAAACTCCCTTCATACTCCAAGAGACAATAACAGAAGACCAGTTACAGCTTTTACTTACACTTAAGGCGTTAAGACTCAGAACACTCTCAAACATTCCAGAAAAAAAACCACACATACACACACACCTTGGATTCCAAATTGTTGGATTAATTTATACACAATACATCTCCTGAGTTCAAACTTTGCCAGAAGCAATTACAACCTTCGTTTAAAATGTACCGTCAAGACGCCGTAAAACAGATTTCCTGTCTTTAGGAATTCGAATATTATGTATTCCTAAACCCTAAAAGTGGGCTTTCGGCTAAAAAGCTTCCAACCAAGAAATTAATAGGGTTCGGTTGGCAACTCGAGCAAAAATCCCAAAGATGAGATTTTCAGTGCAAGTCTAACATGCATAATTAACAAGTGTCCGTTGCTTCATCTCCAGAAAGACCCCAAATGCAAAGCTTTCCCTCCACCTCCGTTGAGCCCCAAGAGTTCAAAAATTCTAGATTAGCCCAGAGGAAAGGAGAAAACAGCAGCCCCTTGGAGAGAGGGAGGTGCGAGCCTATCTAAGCCGGTTGGGCGGGAAGAGCGGGGGGGGGGGGGGGCGGGAGAGCAGGCATGGGTTTCGCGGCACTTACAGATCCGTCAACACCATGAGCTCCGAGTAGGCCCGGTGCAGCAGAAATTCGATAAGGGTGCTCAGCCGGTAGCCGGGGCTGGCCGCAGCTGCAGCTGCCGCCGCCACGGCAGCTCCGGGAGGAGGAGGCGCCGGGGCTGAGGCGGGACCGCCGCTGCCCCCGCCACCGCCTCCGGGAGGGACCAGCTGGTGGTTCTCCAGTTGCACTGGGGCCATGGCGGCGCAGGGCCGGGCTTGGTGCAGCGGCACAAGATGAAGCCCTCGAGCTTCCCGGGCGCTCGGTCACCGCGCCGAAGTGGGCGCGGGCAGAGTCGCCGCCGCCTACCGCCAGGCCGCCTCCGAACAGGAAGCCGTGAGCCGGCCGCGGAGGCCCGCCCCCATGTAGCAACGAGCCCGCCGGCCCCAGGGACTGGAGAGAGGGGCGGGGGAGAGGCGGGGAGGGCGGGGAAGCGGGGAGGCCTCCGCAGAGAAGCTGCGCCTCCGCAACCGATCAGAGGCCGCTTCGCCAAGCAGCCGCAGCGTCCATGTTGACGGCCCAAAACGGAAGTCGTTAGGCAGAGCGGAAGGGGAACCTGCAGGGGGACTTCCGACAGCAACCTGTGCCTTTTCTCCGGCTGTCCGGTGCCGTGACGCTTGGGGGCGCGTGGGAGTGGGGCGGGGCCGGAGCGCGGGTGGGGAAAGCGGAAGCGGTGGCCGCGCGTCGCCGGAAGCGGGTGTGAGGGCGGAGCCATGGACGTCACCGTTAACGTCAGTAGTTGCCCCGCCCTTGCCCTCGCCGCCCTCCGGTGTTTAAAAGGCTCCAATGTACTCTGAGGTATTTATCAGCGCTCCCCAGTGCGGGGCGAACGCGGCTGGGTAGGTTTCCTTCCTAGATGTTCGTGAGTTGTGGTTCTGGAGTCGCGAAGAAATTGTTGCGGCTGCGCTCTCGTGGCTTCTCAGACCTTTGCTCCTCCCACAGTCTGCTCATGCGCCTTTCGTGGGATAGAAAACGTTTCCGTCATTTTTTTTTTTTTTTAACTGTGGGAAAAGATGCGAGAAAATATGGGGGATAAGAGCAGGGCTGCTGGCAGAATAACTTCACTTTAATGGAGTTGGACATATGCCGACCTCGTTACCGATCCCCAAATCCGGGGAGTTCTACCACAGAGACAGCCTTTAAATCCTCTACCGCTGGCTCTCACTCCCTTCTTTCTTGTCCCTGCCCTTGCAGTAGACGCCCTGCCCTTGCAGTAGACGCCCTGCCCTCCCAGGGTTTTCAGTTTTTCTTCTATGTTCTGCCTCCACTTTTCCCCTTCAAAATTTTGCTTCCTGCTTTAAAACAGTGATTCTCAACGTAGCCTTCACGTTGGAATCACCGGGCGGGGGCGGGGTTTAAAAAATACTTACGCCACGCTCCTAGATGCGGCTTTAAGTGGTCTGATGTGAGATCTGGGCTTCCAGGTTTTAAAGATTCCTAGGTGACTCTGATGTGCAACTAACGTAGAAGTCTATTGTTAAAAAGCGTCAATTGCTCCTACCCTTTTTTCAAACATTTTTGCAGATTCCTATCTGTAACTCCTAGGTGTAAGAGATACTCTTGCTGTTCTTTAAGGTTAAACCAATCTTACTCTTTTTAAAAAAATTTTTAAGTGTATTTATTTTTGACAGAGACAGAGTGCGAGCATGAGCTGGGGGGGGGGGGGGGGTAGAGAGAGAGGGAGACACAGAATCCGAAGCAGGCTCCAGGCTCCAAGCTGTCAGCACAGAGCCTGACGTGGGGCTCCAACTCATGAACCATGAGATCATGACCTGGGCCGAAGTCGCACGCTTAACTGACTGAGCCACCCAGGCGCCCCAAAATAATCTTATTCTTGTCCACTTGTGTAATTCTCAGTAATTCTTGAAGGCCATTCACCTGTCTTCTGAAGGTGTAACCTTTGGAGTATAGTCGCTTGCTCCCTCTTTTGGGACCTTAAAGCACACTTACACGCAATATCATCATGATACTTATCAAAACGCATTAGTGTTACACCCCTTGCTGGAGGGCAGAGATTATCATTCCTCCCTATGCAAGCTACCTTTGGGAACAAATTTTTATGTTAGCTAGAATGGTACCATTTCTTTTGCAGTTGTTTTGATTTGTTTTACTGAAGATTTTCCCTCTTTCTTGAGAACTACTGACTTAAAACCAAACAAAAAAACCCGGTGATCACATATCCAGGAAAGTTGGTGGTTGTACAGGGTGGTCTTTAAGGTCTTTTCTAACTCTCAGATTCTGATTCTGTGTGATGTTGATAGGATTTTAACTCTGCCTTATTGCATATATTAAACACAGTTATTACACACCATGTCTTTTGGTATACGTTCAATTTGGCAGTAAGGTTCTACCTAGAGACAGCACAACCAGCTTGCAAATGAAAGGAAAATAATTAATTGGATGAAAAAATTGTTTTAGGATAGAGAAAATTTCACTCACATCCATCAGATTAAAATCTTTGGAAATTTCTGTTTCAATAGATACCTTTAAAAATTGAAAAGTACCTTTTAAAAACGATATTCTAAAGGAAAATAGGGCAAAAATCTTACTAATACAACTGTGAGATGTGCTATGTTTGAATTGTTGGTGATCAGGGAGGTAATATAAATGAAAGCTCCTGAAAGAAGTGATAACCCTCCCTCCCAAGCTGATAATGTAGCTACTAAACAAATACAGGAAGTGCAAATAGAAGAAATGAATGGGGATGGAGAAAGAATGTTAGCATGTTTGGCTGAGTTACTAAAGGAATGACTCACATCCAAATCACTTTTGGAAATCCTATAATTTATCATTTTAAAACTTACAGTACAATGTTTGGCACTATAGTATATATACATAATTCTTTCACATTTTTCAATTGTTCCTCTATTTGGTCATCACCAGATTCTGTCACACTTCAGATAGTTTCAGAACTAGCAGCATGATACTTCCGTGGCTCTTCAATTGAACTAAACACTTGAAATCTTTCATGAAGCCAGTCCAATTTTAATAAAAGAAATTGATTGCAAAATATGGAAAAATAAAATAACATTTCCTTCTAAGCCCTTTTGCTGGAAAAATGAAATTGTGATAAATATAGTTTCATTTTGAAACATACAGCTGCCCCTCAGACACAAATGAGTAGGAAAGGGATTGAAAAGTAGTTTTTTTCTTCCTTTTTCTGAGATACTACAATTAATTCCTGTAAAACAGAGAGCAAAAGCAGCAACTGCATTCATTCGATAGATGCTCCATTCATGGTGAAGTTGAGGGAAGGTGCTCACAACAAACACTCTGAGTATGGTCTGACCAACCTAGAAAAAATGAGAACACTTTAATTGTTTTGCCTATAAAAGAAAACCCAAACTTCTTACTGTGGTCTCCAAAGCCCCTAAGAGAGTGATCCTTGTCTGCTTCTCCACTGCTATCTCCTACTACTCTTTCCTTTGCTCACTACACCTGTAACCACACTGGGTCTAGCACATGCTGTTCCTTCAGTGTTAAGGCTTGTCCACTGTTCCAGATATGGGAAACACTTGTTTCCCAGCTCATCACATGTTTCTGGCTTCTCATCCTTCCAGTGTCAGCTTAAATGAGAAAATCCTTAGGGAGGCCTCCCTTGGCTATTTGATATTAGGAATATATAAGGAATTCCATTGCAGCATTGTAGAAGCCAAACCATATGATCTTAACTGTCTCAGTAGAATGGTTAAGTAAATTACTATATTTCCATGTAACTGTTCAAGTGAAGGAATTAGACCTACATGTACCAACATGGATTCATCTCAAAAACAATACTGAATGAAAACAGCCATCTTTTTTGCTACCATTTCTGTCCATTTTTATTTTTTTATTCTTTAAAATTTAGTTTTAATTCCAGTATAGTCAACATACACTGTTATATTATTTTCAGATATAAAATATAGTGATCCAGCCGTTCTATACATTACCCTGTGCTCATCATGACAAGTTCACTCCTTAATCCCCATCACTTATTTTATCCATTACCCCACCCACCTCCCTTCTGGTAACCATCAGTTTGTTCTCTATACTTACGAGTCTGTTTCTTGCTTTGTCTCTCTCTTTCTCTCTTTTTTCCTTCACTCATTCGTTTTGTTTCTTATCTGTCCATTTTTAAAGCACACAAAATAACCGTAATTTTATATATTGTAGTCAAGGTAAAAAATGTCAATGAAGATGATAGCACTTTCAGGATGGTAGTTACTTCTAGGGAGGGGTAAGGGACGAGGTAGTGCTTTATGGGATATTAGCTATTAGTTATATCTAATGGGTTTACTGAAGAAAAACCTGAAGGATATGTGACAATATTAATATCTATTAAATCTGGGGAGAGAGAGATGATTGTAAATATGTTCTGTACTTTTCAATATTTTTATAAAGACTTTATAATTAAAAAATGTTTAATGTTTATTTAATTTTGAGACACGGTGTGAGGGGGAAGGGGCAGAGAGAGAGAGGTAGACAGAGAATCTGAAGCTGGTTCTGCGCTGTCAGTGCAAAACCCTACCTGGGGCCTGAACTGAACCGTAAGATCATGACCTGAGCTGAAGTTGGATGCTCAAACAACTGAGCCACTCAGGGGCCCCAACATTTCATAATTTTTTTAAGTTTAAATTAAAATGTTTCTATTAGTATAATTTATACAAACTGCCATAACAAACCCCCAATCTCAGTGACTTAACATGGTAAGAGTTTATTTCTCGTGTTCACAAAGTTCAGTAAAGATGTACCTGATGGAGAGGCTCTCTCTAAGTAGTAACCCAGAGATCTAGACTCCTTCTTTTTTTTTTTTTTTTTAATGTTTATTTATTTTTGAGAGAGAGAGACAGTGAGAACCAGGGAGGGGCAGAGAGAGAGGGGTAGACACAGAATCCAAAACAGGCTCCAGGCTCTGAGCTGTCAGCACACAGCGCAATGTGGGGCTTGAACTCACGAACATGAGATCGTGACCCGAGCCAAAATCAGACACTTAACCGTCTGAGCCACCCAGGTGCCCCAGGACTCCTTCTATCTTGGGAAGCCATCGCTCTAACTGGGAGATTTTGTCTATGTCCACCTACATTCCATTAGTCAGAATTAGTTACATAGCCCTTTTAAATGCTAGGGGCTGGGTTGATCCATGTTGTCTCAAATGGCAAGACCTTATTCTTTTTTTATGGCTGGGTGATATTCCACTGTACATATACCACATCTTATTTATTCATTTATCAGCAGACACTTAGGTTGCTTCCATGTCTTTGTTACTGTAAATAATGCTTCGGTGTAGGTCAGGGAGTGAGGGGTAGATGAACTAGGTGAAGGGGATTAAGAGGTACAACTTTCCAGTTATAGTAAGTCACAGAGATGAAAAGTACCACATAGGAAATATTGTCAACAATATTATAATAACATTATATGGAGACAGATAGTGACTACACTTCCGTGGTGAGCACAGCTTAGTGTATAGAATTGTTAAATCACTATGTTGTACCCCTGAAATTAATATAATATTGTATGTCAATTACACTTCAATAATACATTTTTTTAAAAATAAAGGCTAGGGAGGGGTGCCTGGGTGGCTCAGTCGGTTGAGCGTCCGACTTCGGCTCCGGTCACGATCTCGCGGTCTGTGAGTTCGAGCCCCGCGTCGGGCTCTGGGCTGATAGCTCAGAGCCTGGAGCCTGCTTCCGATTCTGTGTCTCCCTGTCTCTGCCCCTCCCCCGTTCATGCTCTGTCTCTCTCTGTCTCAAAAATAAATAAAACGTTAAAAAAAATTTTTTTTAATAAAGGCTAGGGAGCTGGGAAATACAGTCGTCTTGTGTGCCTAGGAAGAGAATGAAATGGTTTGGTGAACAAAGAATATTTCTTTTTACCACAAGACTAAAGTAGTCTTCTCTCTCTCTTTTTTTTCCCCTTAGAGCATGGTCTCTGGAATCAGACCACTTAGATTAAAGTCCTAGCTTGACCACTTGCCATCTGAATGCTCTCCAGCAAGTTATTTCACTTCTCTGGGTCTCAGTTTCCTCATCTGTAATAATAGTATTTACCTCAGAGGATGACTATGAAGAACTAATGAGTTAACATTTGCAAACAGTAAGTGATCTATAAATATTAACTATTACCACCATCATCACTTAGGAGTAATAATTCTTATATTTGGTTTTTCACCTAATAACCTATGAACTTACTGTCTTTCCCTGCCCTCATGTGGCTCTCGCTCTGATAATCCCAGCACCTAGCATAGTGCCCTAGCTATCTGGTTTTAATGAATGGGACAGGTATATTCCTTCACCTATACACTGTAGTTCTATTTATATTGCATTAACCTATTTGGGATTAAGATTGACTTACATGTATTTACGTGTGAAAAAGAAGTGTCTAGGCTTTCTACAAAAACACTTAAGAAAAAAACTTGGTGGAGGTAGATGAACTACAATTGGCAACATGTTGACAGTTATTAAAGTTGATGATGGATACATGGAAGTTTCTTACACTCTGTTCTTTCTCCTCTTTTCTGTATGCACAAGAACATATATAATAAAAAGTTTTGAAAAATCAAAACTGGGTACTTAACTAAAGGTCCAGATCTTTTTTCTTTCCTAATCGACAGCTTTTAATATATGTATCTACTCAATCTTTGAGAGTTTTTAAAACATTTTTGTAATTTATGGAGTGTTTAACATTAAAAAAACTACAAGGAAACTTAAATTATAACTGCTTGTAAAAGAAATGAATGTGTCAAATATTTTAACAATTTTGGTTTCAGGCCTTGGAATAAGAATGTTTGCAAGGAGTCTAAAAAAAACTTATCCAGATTTATAATCTTAAGAATTTCTAGCTGTGCTAAAATTCAGTATCTTTTTTTTCACCTCACAGTTACTTTTTAAAAAATTTTGTGGTGAGAACATTTAAGATCTACTCTCTTAGCAACTTTAAAATATACAGCACGTGTTAACTATAGTCACCATGCTGTATATTAGATCCCCAGAACTTATTCATTTTATAACTGGAAGTTTGTACCATTTGACTGTCTCCCCATTTCCCCCACCCCCGGCCCCTGGCAACCACCAGTCTACTCTTTCTTTCTATGAGTTTGGCCTTTCTGGGTTCCCACATGTAAGTGCAACCATACAGTATTTGTTTTTCTATGTATGACTTACTTTAGTTAGCATATTGCCATCAAAATTTTATCCAAATGGCAGTGTTTCCTTCTTTCCTTCTTTTATGGCTGATTAATATTCCTCTGTGTGTCTTTGTGTGTGTGTGTGTGTGTGTGTGTGTGTGTACATAGGTAGATGAGTATCACATTTTTTTAATCCAGTCATCCATTGACAGACACTTAGGTTGTTTCCATGTTTTGGCTATTATGAATAATGCTGCAGTGAACATGTGGGGTGTAGATACCTCTTTGTAAAATTCATTATCTTTTAAACAAATGATTTCTAATGGGTGAACAAAGGAAGAAGAAAAAGAATTATAAGAACTATATTTAGAATGCTGGTATTGTATTCATCACTAAGATAAAAATCTTATCTTGCCTTATTCTATCTTCATTAGGGAAGAATGCCAACCTCTGGATGCCAGGTGTTGGTGCCATCCATAGGTGGCATCCATAGGTGCCAGAGTAATCCTCGGCACAGATCAGAGGGTCAGATTAAACCTCAGCACAGCAAATAGCAGGGACATCAGCATGATAGCTCTGCTTCTCATGCCCCCAAGTCCCATGAAATGATGTGATGGACCCAGATGGAGACCCTGTGCTCAGCGAGTTGCATCATGGGTGAGAAACCCAGGGCCAAGGGTTCAACACCTTAATTCTCATCAGTCAGATTGAGAGCTTGTTTGGAGGTTCCAGCAGGGAAGCACAGATAGTCATATACCTCTGACTGATGAACAGTCCTCCTCTATCGGAGAAAGTCGTCCTCTTCAACCAAGTGTGCAGCTTCAGGAGTGACGTACATGGAGTGGTGAGGTAGGAAGGGAGGCCCGCCTAGCCAGCCAGATCAGCCGAATCAACCCTGGCAATCAATGGAGTGACAGATGTCACAGCCAGATCACCCTCATATCATCATCAGTCAGACTGAAACAAGATTACACTGGTGCACACAAGGGAGCTGAAGTGTCAGGCACAGCCGAGCAGTCCTGCTTTCATCGGGGCATTGGACAGAGCTGAATAGTGCTGCCATCCCGAGGGTGTCCAGCACAGGGGAATAGTTCCAATCTGGCCACACCCACAGGAGTTTTTCTGTTTTCCTAGCTCAAGGATGAGATGACAAACCCAGCAGCAGGGTCATAGTGTCAACTGTAGCTGCTGCTTGACTCATGTGAACCACGTGATTGTTTTGTGAATGCTGCAGTGCTGGATGAAGGGGACAAAGAAAGCATTAAATGTTCCCACCCCTTCCCCCCCGCTACCCGCCGCACACACCTCACAGGGATGCAGGCGTTCCACCATCAGGTACCAGGGTTATTGTTCTCTTTCCATGGCCATGAAGGTCATTTGTTCTAAGTCAGTAGCCACTATGTCTCTCTTCACTCACCTGACTCCTACCTCCATGCAGACCTTCTTTCATTTCAGATGCATGCTGTGATGGAACTTGGTAGAACTAAGAGTTCCCCCACCGTCAAGCAGGCCACCGTAGGGATACTCCAGGGCTCATAAGTTTCACCAACTGACTCTTATCCTCATGGCCAGCAGTCTTCCTCCCCAACAACTGAAACCAAGTGGTAGCAGAAGCAACAGATGCAGTCACCTTCCCTTTGTGGTCCAACTGCCACCTTAAGATGAAGCCAGTGAGGCTTCCCAGGTACTAGGACCAGAGGGGGAAAACGGTGAGGAGTGACTAGAGATTGTCAGGGTGGAATCACAAACACAGAGTCCCAGACTCCCGTTGCTCCCAACCTTTCAGTCCTGACCTTCCCTACATGGCTGTTCCAAAGGAGATGCTCCCTTGGAAGCCTAATAGGCAGTATGGCTCCATTCAGTCTCACCCAGGTGTGGACTCTTTCTACCAGTGTCTGCATGGGCCACATGAATGTGCTGTTGGCCTGTAGCAATGGCTTTTCAGAGTTCACAGCCCCACAGAGCAGTGTTTTTACTACTAGGTGCCTGACCTGAGAGCTAGAGCATTAGCCACAGCCTGAGTCAGTTGAACATATAACATGGATGGTCCCTAGCAGTACCGCCTAAGAGAAGAGTAATGCCTATAAGCTTGGCCCATTGTACTGACCAGTCCTTACCACAGTTTTTCTTCCAGACCTGTTGGGGACACACAGGTGCTGCCACCCAGGACACATCATCAGCTTTTAGTTTGGCTGAACCATCAGTAAACCAAGCCCAAGGACCCTTAGGGACACTCTGGAAGTGGGGTCCCTAGGTAGCTGGAGGCTGGCCCTGTGAGTGATCTAGGAGGGGGAGCTACAATGGCCCCTAAACCTGTGGCCCCAATATCTTCATGTGAGGAGGACACACCTGTGGGGCTAAGCACACTATTTTCATTAAGTAAGAAAAGACTGTTGTGCCTTTCCAACACTGGTACCATTGAGTGGACCCAACCTAAGAGAATATCTAGGTGCAGTGTTACCTGGAAGTACTGGGTAAGATCCTCAGTCTCCCCAAGTGCCCACCTAATAGCAGACTAGTAGCTGTTTTGCAAATGGAATGTTGTGGGTAGGTGCTAGGGTGGCAGCAAGTCCAGAGTCCCAGGGGATGCCTCCAAGCAGAAGCAGCCTCCCTTCACCAGAGGTGTATGACAAGGGTCCAAAAAGCCAGACTCAGATGGTTACAGTTAATTCCCTTCCTCATATTACTTCATTTCCAATTCTGGCCAATTGAACGCATGGCTGTGAACGAGCTCTGGTATTCAAGTCATAAAAATTTTTATCCTGCTTCCTTGCCCTCCCTTCACCTCATTGTACCCTCATTAGAGACTAAGGCCTCTGGTCTGCCCTGGTGGTGGAGAAACTTCAACCCCCACCCTTAGTCCCCTTTCTCCTTAAAGGCAGTTAAATCAGAATACATAGTTCATGGTCAAGTGGTAAAGGTGCTGAAGGAAGAATTTGTTTTAAGGCAACCACTTGGCTTCTTAGTTCCTCCAGTAGAGAGAATGATTTCTGTGGAGGGATCTGGTTTCGCAGAGGCACTCTCAGTTCCAACTGGGTCGATGACTAACTGGCTGCTGCCCCCTCCCCCATAGCTCAATATCTGGACCAAATCTCTTTGGTCCTCACCCTCTCCATGTCTTCTGTGCTTAGCCCCTGCTTGAACAGCCATATCCACGTTGCCTTATGGGTCCCTTTGGAGGGAATTTGATATTCCCTTCCTTAGTTTTGTCTTGCATTGCAGTCTTTGCCTTGTTTGGGTTGCCCATCTTTATCCCAGGCATTTTTTTGGCTCAGGGTCAGCAGTGCCCACACAGAGGGCCTTCAAGGACTAAAAACAAAGGTAGTGGAGTCTTCCACCTGCAGGGGGCAAACCACAACACCCTTTCAGCCATTCTCTGAAGTGAGGGGCTCATCATGAAGGCTTTCATTGTGTCCATTTTTGCAGTCAGTCTGGAGCATCTACAGCACTCAGGCTTTGAATAACTTCTTCCATGGTGTTCCATGGCATTTTTAAAATCAGCATTGGGGAAAGCTTTCTGGTTTGGCCATAATGTCATCATTGAAACAGAAATTCACAGGTGCCTGGGTGGCTCAGTCGGTTGAGTGTCCGACTTGGGCTCAGGTCATGATCTTGCGGTTTGTGGGTTCAAGCCCTATGTAGGGCTCTGTGCTGACAGCTTGGAGCCTGGAACCTGCTTCGAATTCTGTGTCTCCCTCTTTCTCTGCAACCCCCGCTTCCCTGCTCGCGTTCTGTCTCTCTCTCAAACATAAACATTAAAAACTTAAAAAAAAATTTTTTTTTTATCATTTATTCATTTTGGAGAGAGAGAGACAGAGCATGAGCGGGGATGGGGCAGAGAGAGGGAGACACAGAATCCGAAGCAGGCTCCAGGCTCTGAGCTGTCAGCACAGAGCGCAACGCAGGGCTCAAACTCACGAACTGCGAGATCATGACCTGAGCCAAAGTCGGACGCTCAGCTGACTGAGCC